CCCGTGGGAAGCATTCCCGCTCTTCAAAAGATATTCACAGCCATCCTGACACACACCCAAACTGACCCCAGAGATGACCCTCCATCGACCTTTCAATGAGAAAACAAACGTCCCCATTTCCCCACCACTCCATCTATGGGGCTCCTGGTAGCTGCTGTCCTTCCCGTTAGGAATGACCAACACCGCCTGTGCTCTGGACCCCATCCCCCTCTCGACCACACCCATCTCTGTTCGTTCCCATCAGTATACCAAGATGCTCTAGAATCTCCTATCTTTATAAAAGAAAACAACACAGACAGTCCTCCGACTCCGTGACTATCTCATGTCTCAGTTTCACAGCAAAATTCCTGGCGTTGCCAGGTTTCTCCGCTTTCTCGCCGGCCACCCTCTCCTCAGCCCACCGCCTCGGGCCTCTCCCCACACCACCCTCCCAGGTCGGCCCTGCCCACTGTCAGTGCGCGTGAGGTTGGCAGCCCAGGGAGAACTCTGCCCGTCTTCATGGCCTGCCACCGGCGCAGGACGTGGTGGTTCCCCTCTGTCTGAAATCACTGTGCCCCCTTGGCTTCTGTGACTCTTGCCTCGCTGGCGGACCTTCTCTGTCTCTTTGACTCACTTTTTTCTTTGTGCAACCTCTGAACTGTTGAGTGCTCTTATGCTCAGCCCTGGGCCCTGTTTTCTCTCTCAGGCTCTCCCTGGGAAACCTCCCCCACTCGGTGGTTTAAGTGCAGTTTATAGGCTCATCAGGACTTTACCTGTGCATCCAACTGCCCACTGGACTTGCCCACTGCAAATCTAACAGGCACCTCAAACCTAACACGGAAACACAGAAATCTCCACTCTCCTCTAAAGCTGCTCCCACCCGTCTTCCCCCAGCTCAATAAATGGAACCACTATCCGGCCAGTCTCTCAAGGTGAAAACCCAGGAGGAGGCATCCCTGGTCCTTTATTCCGGTCTCTGCTCACATCTAAGACATGAACGAACCCTGAAAACCCTACCTCTAAAACATGTCTCAGTCCAGCCGTTACCCCCCCGGCCGTGACAACCCTGGTCCGAGTCACGGTCATCTACCTGAACACAGCGACCTAACTGGCCTCTTCCTTTCCACCCGTGTCCCTCACATGCCGCTGATCAGGCCGCAGCCGGACTATTGTAAAGATAACCACATCGAATTGCTTTCTTGGTTAAAAATTTTCAAATGTTTCCTCTTGTACTTAAAGTAAAACCCCAGCACTAATCCCAGTTTACAAAGTCCAATCCCAGCGTACACAGCCTGCCCCTTGCCCACCCTAGTTTCTGACCACGCAGCTCTCCCCCAGCCTGCTGCCCTTCCGCCTCACCGGTTTTCTCGCTACTTTCCTCGAACCCAGGACCATATCCTCCTGGGGGCCCGCGGTCAGCATCCTCTCCGCCCACTGCCTTTCCCTAATCTTCACAGGCCCAGCGTCACTTAGTCCAGCGCAGGTGTCTCCCCCTCAGAGGGGTCACCCATCCTAAAGTAGCCACTCAATCACTCCCTACCATCTATTTTTAATTGTGTGTCCAGCATTTATTATTATATTTCCTTATTTAATTACCATTTTCTTCCCCTCATTAGAACACCAGCTCCACAAAGAATGAGAGCATTGTTTACTGCTCTATCCCCTGTGGCTAGAACTGCCTGGCATATTAAGGGAACTTAATAAACATGTGCTAAGTGAATGACCTGAAATCTTGGCTCACTCCAGCCAACAACTGAGACACAAGGTTGTGTAATGGACTTAAAAATATCAAAGCCACTCCTCCTCCTTTTAAAACACAGCTGTACTCAAAGAGGAAACCACATTCCTTTGAAACAATTCCAGTTTAGCAAATGAGAAGTATGCTTACCTTATTACTACATCATAGGAGTCAATTTTTTCTCCTAATGTCTTATTCTTCAAAACTCCTCCATTACCAACCACCACGCACCTTTTACATGGCACACTGTTGGGCAAACAGACAAGGGAGAGATTGAACCATCTGTGACAGAACTGGGCGATGCCAAAGCCCATTCACACTGGCAGGAACCCAAGTCAAATTTCACCTGTCGCACCAGAAAAAGAACTGATTGTGACTTATCGGTCTAAGGGTGCATTAGAAAGATGCAGGATTCAAGAATAACATTCCGTAGGAAGTGTATCGTCTTTAGCAACTGTTAACTCTTACCTGCCCACTCGTTCCCACATTGGATTCTCCTCACCACCCATAGATAAGCCTGACAATTCCATTTTACAAATGAAGAGAGGTGCAGAAAACTGTAACATTTCAAAGTCATACTCCAAAGAGAGAGAGAACTTGGATACAATTGGATCTAGATCTTTGAACTACAAAAAACACCCTTGGACACAGGATTCTGCATGTTAATATGGATACAGTGTGTTTACGTTACCTGCGTGTACATTTTTTACCAGCCTGGCCCATTCCCCTGAGATTCTAGCTCTGGGTTACTGCTCTGTCTTGTAAACGTGGAGCCAGGTGGGAATCAGGGGGGCACAGTGGAGCTTCCTTGTACCTGCCCATGCTCACGTAAATTTCTCAGGCATGTACTGGTCCTTGGAGCTCAACCAATACAAACTAAAAAGTCGCTGTGTTCCTGGCAAAGGGCTGTAAAGTAGGACACAAAGTGGGACTTTGTGTTGCTGGCTGGGATCAGCCGAGGACCACGGATTGTGTACCGTCAGCTCACAGCAAACACAGCCTGGCCCGTGTGTCTCCAGGCTCCCATCACCGCCCAGCCAGGCCTTTTCCTCTAGGGGCGAAACTGCAGAGGGGAAGGCCACAGACTGCCCTCGTGGCATGGAAGCATAAAGAAAAAATTTCCTCTAAGAGCCAGGAAATCAGCAGACCAGACAAACTTGAATCTGTAAGGCCCTTAGGAAATTCCTGAGTAGAAAATTGCACAAATGCTGTAGAGTATTTAAACACAGAGCGTGCAGAAGTACAGAAACCATTGAAAGGAGCCAAGTGCCCTCCCTGGTCCGGTGGATCAGCTGGTTGAAGTGTCATCCTGTGCACCAAAAGGTGGTGGGTTCGATTCCCGGGCAGGGCACATCCCTAGGTTTTGGGTTCATTCCCTGGTAGGGGTGTGTATGGGAGGCAACTGATCGATGTTTCTCTCTCCCTCCCTCCCTTTCTAAAATCAATAAAAACATATCCTCGGGTAAGGATTTAAAAAAATTATTTTAAAGCAAGAAAAAAGCCAAGCAGTGGCCCTGTCAGGTTAAGAAGAGACACCAGGCACATTCCTATACGCATAAGCTGACCGTTTTTACTTAGAATTTGTGTAGCTTTATCTATTTGACATTTTTAACACTAAATATTTTAAGAATACTTTTTTACATGTTTTATTTTGAGACTCTTAGCTCCCCAAATTAGAGTCATGTCCAGATCAGTGTCTACTTTGTTACAAAAACAAGACCATCTAGAGTTTCACAGGTGGCAGGGTCTGGTGGGCGGGGCAGGGAGCATCCAACGGGCACCTTGAGGACATGCCCCAAACCTCTACCAAGGACACGTCACAGTGTGTTCTAGAGACATTTATTTTTGAATCTGCTTGTTTTTAATATGAAAGTAACATCTCTAGATGCTTTTATATGCAAGCTTGACATTAATCCTAATTCCAGGAAGGCAACTTTATCTGCAGCAGGTGGGGAAGATGGAAGCCCTGGTGACCGTCAGAGCCCCTCCCTCTCCAGGCGTATTGCCATTGTCCTCACCAGTGCCACCGATGGGTGCTCGGCAGCAGGGGGCAATTCCCACACTCACAGCTTATGCGACCTTTCCTTCCATAACTTCGGGGTCAGCTTAAAGCAGATTAGAGGCTGAAACTGAAGCTGGCTCCACCCCCCCAGTGGAATGCTAAGCAGACGGGGCAACGAGGAGAAGCGGCTAGGAGCAGAGGACTGAACTAGCAGCTCTGCTCCTGACAGATAACCTTCACGGGGGTGAGGAGGAATAGCTCCAGTTATGGGAGCCAGACTAGCCCTGTCCTTTGAAGAAGGCTGGAGGCCACCTCCCTGTCAAGGGAAAGGGCAGCCTTGCCTGAAGGTCAGGTGGCATCAGGGCTAGAGCTTCCATCCTGGCTTGGGGGCCCCCAGCCTGACCCTCTACCTAACACGCCATGGTAGGGCCAGGAGCACAGCAGGGCCACCCCCGGGCCTCTGGGTTATCCTGGAGTCTCAACAAAGGACTCTGACCCGCAAACCACCAGTAAAAGGTTAACTTAGCTCATTTCCAGACACAGCCACCTACACAATCACTGCTTAGCAATGCACTGACCAGCTGGGCCTCGGTGTTGGCAGGAGCCCCCTCAGTGTCACCTGTCATCTGATTGGGTTACAGCTGGTCATCAAGCCCTGGAGCATGTGCAATAAATGCTACCATCTGTCACACTAATAAGTCCCATCCCTGGTGCCCACGCACACCCAAGGCCCTGCACCTCCTCTCACAGGCCTGACACCACACCTTCCAGCCAAGACAAAATGGGGGAGCCAAGGGCTACAGGCAGATCTCTTCCACAGGAGCCCCGAGGATTAGCTACAGAGATGGGGTGTTCCCTGTACCCAGCCTCCTGCTCCTTACGGTCCCAGCAGGTTCAAGGACTTGGGGAAAACAAAGAAATCTTACAAACACTGCGTCAACTCGAGAACTCCAATATTAAAGCTGCTTTACAGTTCAACAGTCACCACATTTGCAGAAATTTCACTTTCCATTTTCTTTCCTGTCAGTTTTACAGGGGCAGATGGACAGAGAGAAGGCCCTTTGCCATAGGAGAAGCTTGCCATTGCCTCCAAAAGGAAATCTTGTCAACGAAACTCCACTTTTCCTCCTGGTAGGCACACTGCAAAGACCCACGCATCTTCCTGGGGATCATACATAACACGAGGAACAGTTTGGGGGTACCCCTAGGACTACTCTTTGGCAATAATATACATTTTTAAGTTGAATTTAGAGAGAGAGGAAGGAGGGCGGCGGGGGAAACATCGATGTGAGAGAGAAACATTGATCGGTTGCCTCCCATATGCACCCCGACAAGAGATCAAACCCACAACCTAGGTATGTGCCCTGTCCAGGAATAGAACCCACAGCCTTTTGGTGTAGGGGTGATGCTCCAACCAACTGAGCTACCCGGCCAGGGCTGGCAATAATCTCTTATCTACAGCTAGTGTTCGTTCACAGTTCCACCATGACTCCCGGAAATACATGAGGATCCCGATACATGGTCTGAGCCACACGCCTGGAAACTCATTGCTTCCCTCTCTCCCAGCAGGTGCCCACATACGACTAAAGGAGTGATCCATCCTCTCCCTGGTCTCATCCGCCTGGCCCAGGCTCCTGGCTTTCCCTGCTTCCCTGGGTATGAAACAATAACTCCAGTGTCCTTTGGGTGACTGGGTAACGTCATATTTAATTAAGACACCTTTCAGGCACAAATAGCTGCAGTGAATGGTGAGTCTCCAGAGGGAAGAATGGTATCACCTGTCTTTCTGTATTCTCCAACCTAAAACGTCCCGATTCACGGGCTCTGCGCTTAGAAACCGGTTCGGTTGTTATAGTAAGTGTGGTGTCATTTTCCCACTTTGAGTCCGGAGAAGCAGGTATCTGCTCTTCCCCCACCCTAGAAAAGGGCAGGGAAATGCACAGGCCCCGGACTGCTCATCTGGAAAACAGAATCATTCCAGGGTGCCTCAACCTGTTAATGGAAAATCTGGAAAGCGGCTGAAACCACAATGGTAAGCGATTACACTGGCCCCGGTGAGGGGCACGTTCCTCAGCAGGTCAGGCCAACCCAGAAGTCAGTACCTCGTGCAGAGGGAACCCCAACACCATCAATGTGGAGAAAGCAAACCTGAGTTGACCATTTCAAGTGATCTGTGGTCGTCTTTTCTGAATGCTTCCTGACATCCCTTTTCCCCTCAGGGGCATCTTATGCATTAACATGTATCACTCCACCTTCAACGACCTATGGCAGGTCCCATCAGCCATCTCCCTTGTGCCTCCCTAGCAGAGCCCTGCCTTCACAAGCCTGACAGTGGTGACATTACTCTGCCAATAGGTGGTCTAGCAGCGGCCACAGGACCCACCCCTGGGCCACAAGATACAGGGAAGTCTATTAAATGCTCTGGAAAAGATTGCAGTCCCGGCGAGAGGCTGGTTTGGGCAGAGCCCTTTCTTTTTATCCCCACCTTCCTTTCGGCTCAGATGTCCACATGTGATGACATCAAGTTAGAGCAGCTGCTGTTCCCTTGCAACAGGGAAAGGCAGAGCGCGCCAGAGCCGCCGCCACCCATCCCACCTCGGAACCGCAGCTCCCGCATCCAGAGGTGCGGCCTGCACACAGCCCGGCTGTAGGGTGCGCCATTTAGGCAGCTACCCGTGTGGACGGCTACTCCCTGGAGCTGTGCAGTCCAGTCTGCATAGCCTGAAACAGCCCACCCTGCCAGGGGAGCCACAAGCCCGCAGACCCAGGAACCACATGCCTACGCGACGTGGGAGACAACGGCCTGCTCTGTTTAAGTCCCGTTTAGTCAGGAAGATTGCTACTTGCAACTCAAAGATCCCAAAACCCTGCCCGATGGACTGCGGGTGGGGACCTGGCTGCTAGTTCTGGCTACTCTATTTAGCACCTCTGGGACCTTGGCCTAGTGACCTTTCACCTCAGTTTGCCCTTTGTGAAGTAAGCGAATCACTGAGGTCTTGACTGTCATTTTGTTACGCGGGAGGCTTCCTCCCGCACCTGTCTGTAGCTCTAGCAGCAGCTGCCTGCAGAAGTTGCTACAAAACAGGCAGCTCCCGCCTCTGCACCGCAAGTGACTCACTCTGCTGGAGGATCACAGCTTCCCCTCACCCTCAAGCCTCCCTCCTGGCTGAAAACGCTGCCGTGGAAAGAAACCTTGCAAACCAGCAGGTGTCCAGAGTTTGGTGAAGCTATGGATACCTCCGAC